CACACACACACACACACACACACACACACACACACACAGAGGCTTGCCCAGTTAACTTGTGAATCCAGATCTGGTAATGCACTGGTGCCGATTTCCTGGTTGTGATAAGAGGCCACTGATGGGGAGGCTGGATATACAAGTTTTACAATTTTCTATAAGCTACAATCATGACAAAAATAAAAACAGTGCTGGAGATGCAGTGACAGACTGCTCTCCCTGGCATGCATAAAGCCCTGGCTTCCATCCTAGCAACTCTGAGAAAAAGAAAAGTTGAGGGGGCTGGGAAGGTGGCTCAGTGGTAGAGTGCTTGCCTTGCATGCATGAGGCCCTGGGTTCAATTCCAGAAAAAGATGGAAGTGGTGCTGTGGCTCAAGTGGTAGAGAGCTCACCTTGAGCTGAAGAGCTGAGAGACAGAGCTCAGGCCCAGAGTTCAGACCCCACGACTGACAAAAAAAACACACAAAAACAAAACAAACAAACACAAAGAAAAAACCCTGAAAAGTTAAGATGAACAATAAAACAGAACAAAAGAATTCTCCCTGGGTACTAATATAGCCTAAAATCCCAGACATATTAAAAATTTAAGTAACAGTCAAGAGTTCAGAAGATGGCATTTAGGCCATCTGTTACCAATTTTGCTAGATGGGGAAAATAATTCTGCGTGCATTGGCAAACCCACTGAAAAAAACCCACGAAAGTGTAAAGGGCAGATCAGGTAGGGACAGGGTGTGTCCTAAACTTTCTTTTTCTTTTTTTCCTTCCTTCATTCCTTCTTTCCTTCCTTCCTTTTCAGTACTGAACTCACTTTGGCCATATTCTAGTCCTTGTGTCTATTTGGATAATACCTCACTACCTCTGCCCAGGCTGGCCTAGAACTATCAATCCCTTGCCTCTGCCTGCCAAAAGGCTGGGATTATAGGCCTGTACCACAACACCCAGCTTGGCCCAGTCTTTCTATGGATAGAGGTAAAGCCGGATTTTAGTGTGAACTATACACTTGTATTACCAGTTCAACCTTTTAAGAACTAGTAAATCTAAGCTTTAAATAACTTTTCTATTCCCCCCCCCCCCCCACACACACTTCCTTCTGAATCTTCCCTCTGAGGACTGCCTGACATCACCCTAGTCCACAGCCCCCATGCTCCATCCACAGTATTGTGTCCAATCCCTCCTCTCCCCTCCTAAGCTTCAATAGGCACTGGCTCTAAGATCCTTTCTGACCATCTATGCAGTAGTTTTGTACTTCTCTTGTCATACGTTACCATCTCATGGGGACCCTGTGCCCTGGTAATGAAGTGTTCAGGGAGTCTATCCTTCCAAGGGCACAAGGAATGCTAGAGACAGGGCTGAGCCCAATTCACCCCCCAACTGTTTCTTCCAAAACCCATTTCCCATACACCAACACTTTGGTGATTTCCACCACTAGTGCACATGACCTGAATATTTTCACTTACTTTTCTTATAAAAGACTTCTTTTGCCAGGTGCCGGTCACACCTGTAATCCTAGCTACTCAAGAGGCAAAGATCTGAGGATCTCGGTTCAAAGCCAGCCCGGGCAGGAAAGTCCGTGAGACTCTTTATCTCCCATAAACCACCAGAAAACTGGAAGTGGCACTGTAACTCAAGTGGTAGAGTACTGGCCTTGAGCTGAAGAGTGCAGGGGCAGCACCCAAGCCCAGAGTTCAAGCCCCATGACCAACAACAACAACAACAAAAAAGACTTCTTTTTTTTCTCCTACCCAGTCCTGGGGCATGAACTCAAGAGCTTCTTTTGTCAAGGCTAATGCTTTAACACTTGAGCCATTGTGCCACTTCTGGCTTTGAGTAGTTTATTAGAGATGAGTCTCAAGGGGACTTTTCTGCCTGGACTGGCTTCAAACCACCATCATCAGATCTCAGCCTCCAGAGTAGCTATGATTATAGGCATGAGCCCCAGTGCCAGCTCTCTTTTTAAAAAATTTATTTTATTTATTTTGCCAGTCCTAAGGCTTGGACTCAGGGCCTGGGTGCTGTTCCTGAGATTCTTTTGCTCAAGGCTAGCATTCTATCACTTGAGCCACAGTGCCACTTCCCGCTTTTTCTGTGTATGTGGTACTGAGGAATCAAACCTAGGGCTTCATGCATGCTAGGCAAACACTCTGCCACTAAGCCACCTTCCCAGCCCCCTCCTTAAAAAAAAAAAAAAAAAAAAACTAACTAAGGTATTTACTAGGTGATACTATTACAGGTGCTTAAAAATCCTACTCTGGCTTATTATAGCTATTTTACAAATAAGGAATGGAGGCCCAGACAGGTTAGATAATTTGTTCAAAGTCACACAGCTTCGTGGGCTGCATAGTCAGGTGTTGAGCTCCAGCAGCCATATCCTTGACCACCATCCAACTTGAGGAGGAAAGGAAAGGTCTCTCTGCACTGGGATGCATTAGGATGCAGGTGGTCCTAGATCCGAGGGCTATAGAGGTGACATGAGCCAGAACCATAATGTTACCTGTGCCTCTCAACAACTTAACAGGGCACTGCTCATTTCCATCCTATTTCACCCACAAGGAAAGAAGTACCAAGTGTAGTGATACATGCCTGTGATCCCAACACTCAGGAAGATGAGACAGGAGGATTGTGAACTGTGGCTTAAGTGGTAGAGTGTTAACCTTGGGTAAAAAAGCTATGGGACAGTGCCCAGATTCTGAACTCATATTCACACACAACACACACACAAATTACTAGCTTGGCTTGCCTTGAATCACTGAGCTCAGAGCTCATCCATGGTTCAGGGGAATTCAATCCAAGTAATTTGACTCCAGTCTGCACTGAGTAAACAAAGACCCATCTTTCATCCCTCTAGACAGAAGCATGCCTCTGCAGAAGCAGAATACAGCCCCACAATGAACAGAACAGGTCTCTATGTTCCAGGTAGAGATGGCTGCTGAACACCAGGCCCAACGGCCAAGCCAACTCCAGGCCTATTGTACTGCTCTACATTTGCTCAAGGTCTAGTGAGCCAAGCACTAAACTATACAGCTGTGGAGGCTCAGACCACCCAGCACCAAAGCCTGAAAGAAGCAAACCAAATTAAAAAAAAGGGAATGTAGAAGAGAGACACTGTTACTCAATGGCAGCTCTGAGAACCACTGGGCTTGACCTGCACAAAAGGATACTTTTACACCTGGTACCTACTTATAGTTACCCAGGTTTTTTTGTTGCTTCATGTTACATTCTGGTAACTACAGGGAGGGGGGAGGGTGTTAGGGTACACACAGCTTTGACACTGCTGTCTACTTTCATACTCAAATGTCCCATGATAAAAATTTATTTTTCTTTCCCCCTCAAAAAAACAAAAATAAGTCAAGCTGGGTGTGGTAGTGACCCAGGCTGGTACTCTCAGAATCTGAGACACAAGAAGATTCTGAGTCCAAAGACAGCATGGAAGCTCTAAATTCTATCTCTGGCACTAGGGAGGGGAAAGGAAAAGGAAAACGGAGGGGAGACAATATAATGCTAAGTTACTTATTTGAAAGGTTTCACGACCCAAAAGAAAAGGAGCAACCTAAAATTAGGAATAAGGTTATCATTTGAATCCAGGTGCCGGTGGCTCACACCTGTAATCCCAGCTACTCAGGAGGCTGAGCTCTGAGGATCAAGGTTCAAAGACAGCCCCAGACAGGAAAAGTCGGTGAGACTCTGGTCTCCAATTAATCATCAAAAAGCTAGAAGACAAAGCATCAATAAGTCCTAAGCCTCCCCTAGGTGCTCCCCAGCTAGGGCTTGACTGTTCTCTTTCTGGCTGTCTGGCGCTCCCTTGGATCGGCTCAGCTCCAGCACGCATCACGCCATAGACAAGACCAGACTGCTCCCCAGACGGATGGATCCTCCAGGAGGCCCTTACCTAGGCAGACCACAGAACCCGCCTAGGCCCCAACCCCCAGAGGGACACGCCCCTCGTAGCTCACGTGACGCGTCCTGCCACGCCCTAAAGCAGCCGCAGCTTCCAAGTCGGCCCCGCCTCCCCAGGATATGCTAATTAACCGATGACCTCCGGAGCCCACCCGCAGCTCCAGGATAATCCCCAGGTAGCCCCGCCCCCAGCCCTCTGGCCCCTCCCCCTCCCGCGCGGCCCGGCCCCTCCAAGCCTCTTTAGACCTCTTAACTACGTTCAGCTGCCGGGGTCCCGGGTCTACCCCTGCGCCGGGCTCCTCAGCCCCTTCTCAGGCCGGCGGCCCGGGGCCCGCTGCCTGCGCGCGCCCTCGGCCCCTCAACATCCCCGCGCCCGTTCCTTGGCCGCCACCGCGAACCCGGGGAAGCCACGGGCCCAGAACGCTTTGCACGCTCGCCAGCCCCAGCCTCGCATTAGGCGGCTCCACTTGCCTCCCGCCTCCCCGCGAGCCGCTGCTCCGGGACGCCTCAGTCGCTCAGCTCCGAGTACCCGGCAGTCCCAGATTCGCGCCACGGAATTCGCGCGCAGACTTCGGGGGGTCAGGGGGCGGGGCCGTCCGGGGGCGGGATCAGGGTGCTGTTCGCGCCGCGGCGGCCGCCGCCACTCAAAGGATTCTGGGAGTTGTAGTCTTCCCTAACAAGCGGCAACCTGAAAACAGGAGGAGCTGAGGCCAGCCTTGACGCACAGCATGCTGGGAAGAGGGCCCGAATCGGCCCTCGCCCAGGATGAGCAGGTGAGACTGCGGGTTCCAGGGTGGGTGGGGGAAGCGGGGAGAGGGGATAGACTGGCGGGGACCGAGGAAAGATTGACGGAACCGCCGCGCGGAGCATGGCGGGAAGAGAGGCGGGAGGCCGCGCGGAGCATCCCGGGAACAAGGGCCGGGCTGGCCCCGGCGCACGGCATTGTGGGAGGCGGGCGCCGCTCCGGGTTGGGTAGGTGAGTTGGGGGGGGGCGGGAGGGGCGCGGGGCTGGGGGGGCGCCGAGGCCGAGCCGAGGGGGGGGGGCGGCGAGCTCGGGGGAAGGGGGCCGGCGCCGGAAGGGGCCGCGCGAGGGAGAGAGGGAGGAGAAGGTGCAGCCCGACGGGGGTGGCGGGGGCACGCTCTGGAGTGCCGAACCCCATCTGACGGGCGCCCCGGGACCGCGCCTAGAGCGGAGACGCACCGGGAGGATGCGAGCTCCGACCGGGAGGAGGGGGCCGCGACTCGACCCGGCCCCGGGGAGGTGCGTCCTAGGAGGAAGTGCCCCCCCAGACGAGTATTGGGGACACTTCCGAGTTGGATTTCCCACAAGTGGGCCCCCCACACCTGCAGGCGAACGACCCGCGCCCCGACGCGGGAAGCACCCCTGGAGATGAGCGCTTCTCCGGAAGCGGGCGCCAGCGATGATTCTGGAGAACCCCAAGGGTCGCAGATGTGGGAGGAGCCGCCGCTTCCTGGAGAGGAGGAGCCACAGGTGCGCCCTGCATTCCGGCCTGGAGTTGAGGGGTTCCAGCTTGGTTGCGGGGTACGGCCGCAGATGGCTGACAGCCACGCCTAGGCACATGGAAGGTGGAATTCCAGACGAACCTGGGCCCTGGAAGTTTTCGGAGGTGGGGGCGGGAGGGGGGGAAGGGGGACGCAAGTCTTCACTACAAGTTATGAGGCGCCACAGCTGAGTTTCAGGGTTATCTGGGGCCAAAGAAACTTCACCTGTACTTAGGGGTCACTTCAAGAGAGATGCAGCCCAGAAATGGAATTAAATTCCAACTTTAAACAAGGGAAAAGTGAGGGTCTGAGAGAACAAAGATTGGGTGGAACAGCCAGGGGCTGCTAGTTCACTCCTGTAATCCTATCTACTTTGGAGACTGAGTTCTGAGTATCTGTTTGAAGCCAGTCAAGGCAGGAAAGCCTGTGAGACCCTAATCTCCAACTGAAACTACCAAAAAAGTGGGAAGTGAAGCTGTGGCTCAAGTGATAGATCTATAGCCTTGAGCAAAGTTAGCTCAAGGGCAGCACCCACACCCTGAGTTCAAGGCCCAGAACTGGCACAAAAGCCAGATGGGGCGAGATTCTGGGTGGGCCTCCAGTACCACCTGTATAGAGGCACTGGCACCCATCGGGCAGGCTGAGAACAAGGAATCCAAATACTAAGACCCAGGTGAGGAAGGATCTGACATCCAGCTCTTCTCCACCTTCCCACTCAGGACTCCAGGTTGGAGTTGTCGGAGCCCCCACAAGGCACAGTGGTGGGTAAAGAAGAACAAGAGCTGCTGGACAAAGCCTTCTTCTCCTGGGCAGAGTTCAGCTGCTTTTTCGACCAATGGTGCCAGCAGCGGCTGGTGGTCTTTTCTGTGAAGAGCTCCACACATGTGGCACGCAGCCCCTGGGCCAGCACACCCCCACTCTACCGGCTCATCCACGTGCTCAAGTACAGCTACGTGCTGCTGGTGTGCAAAGATGCGCGTTCGCCTGACCAGTCCTCAGCGTGGTGCGTGACCCTGGGACTATGCCCTGATGTGGGAAGAAAAAAAAGGGGCGGGGGAGGGCAGTGAGCCCCACCTACCCACTTGTAGGGGACAGAGAGGCTGATTGAGAATGATCACTACAATGAGGTTGGGTGTCTAGAAGGGGGACCCTTACTGAGAAAGGGAGATGAGAGAGGAGTCTGGAAGGCAGAGGGAGAGGAGTTCACACTGCCAGACAGACAGTAAGATTGGACAGAAGCCCTGAGGGAGACAGAACTAGTGAAACAGAACCAAGTCCAAAAAGAAAACCCATAAACACCATCCCTCATAGATAATACTTGTAGCCAGGGTAAATAGGAACCCTGTCCCTGATAGCCTTCTAGAGAAGAGGGTAGAGCAAAAGCCCATCTCACCATTAACCAAAGCAAAAAGGGCTGGAGGTGGGGCTCACCCTCGTAGAGCCCTTCCCCTAAGCAACTCCTCAATTTAAACCCCAGTACCACCCAAAGCAAAAAAAAAAATTTTTAAGGCTTAATCTTTTTTCAGTGAAACTATAAGACCACCATTAGACCACTTCTATGACTGTCAGGGAGGAGCAGGGGGAGAATGCAAGAGAGATAAGGTTCACTCCGCAGGCAGTATTGCCTCTTTGAACTGGGAAGGACTTCCGTGCCTGCCCATGTGCGCCCCATCAGATAAGATTTGGAGCTCCCATTCATTCCCCAGGCTTTACCTGTCTGCTTCCTCGTGTTGGGTGCTACCCCTTCCCCATCCCTCCTTGCTGACTCCTGTAGGAATTTGAGACTGCTGGTTGTAGTCCTTAGCCAAGGTGGGCTACATGAACACAGCTTAGGCAGTGGTCTTTGCCTCAGTTTCCACACTGTCACAGAGCCGTTGGGCGGATGGATGTGCCCCTGGAGCTCTGAATAGCTGAATCCAGAACTAAGTGATCATTGTTGTAGGAACTTGGAGCACAGAACCCACGCAGGTTGGTGCTCGGCCTTTGGACTAGTCAGTTGTATGGAACAGGCAACCCGCCCCCCCCTTTCTGGGCCTCAGTTTCCTCTTTTTAGCAGGGGGACATAAAAGCATCTCAGGGTTTTCTGTCGCTTTGTTTTGCACCAGTATTGGGGCTTGAACTCAGGGCCTTGAGGGCTCATTTATTTTTCCTACTTAAGTCTGGTGAGCTACAGCTCCACTTCCAGCTTTTTGCTGGTTCATTGGAAAGAAGAGTTTCATGGGCTTTCCTGCCTGGGCTGACTTCCAGCCTCGGGTCCTCAGATCACAGCCTCCTGAATAGCTGGGGTTACAGGCATGTGCTGTCCTATCCTGTCCTGCTTTATCCGGAATGAGCTCTTGTAACTCAGCCTTCCCAGCTGCTCCAACTTCGGCTTCTCCAGTGTCACAGGCCACACAAAGGCTGAGATCTGAGGCTGGAGAATTAGGGTAAGAGAAAGCAGAGGATGAGGCCATAATGGTGTTGAAGCCTGGACCCTGTGGCGCTGTGTCTAGGGGGTGTTGCTGAGCAGAGTGGGTGCTGGGATAGGAAAGTCTTTTGGGGTGAGACTGAGTTTTGGGGTCCAGGAACATAGGTAAAGGTGTTGCCCTCATTCTTCCCCTTTCTAGGTGGCACAGTACCACCTCTAGCACCTGTCCCTTCCCCCTCCCTTTACCTGCTGGGCTCCACAGCAGGACTGCCCCACCTTCCCCAGAACTTTTACAGTGGAAGTAGCACTAGCGCTTTCAGAGGAAGAAAATTAACTTTGGGGTTTTTTTTGTAGTAGGTTGTGAACTCAGTGCTTACGCTTCATACTTGCTAAGAAGGGAGCCTGCCCATGGCCTGTTTTTTGGCACCTATCATCTAGGTCTCCACTTCCTGTGCTAGCTAGGATTATAGGTAGGAGCCACTAGACTCGGCTCTGTTCACTTTGACAGGTGGCTGTGGTAGGTACAGAATTTTGTCAGCAATGCAAGTTTTACGTATCTATCCTTACCACAGCCCTCAAAAAAGGGCTGATGATTATGATATGGGGAAACTGAGGCAGCTATTTTTCCCAGCTGGCATATCGTACAGAGCCCCTGGTCTCCTATGAGGGGTCATGGGGTGATGGAGCTTGTTCTTTCCTGCAGGCCCTCCCAGCCCAGCTGCCCGGCCTTTATCATCGTCAAGCTGAGCCCGCTGCGGGACCGCCTGGTGGTGTCGGAATGTCAGCTCACGCATTCCCACCCCCCCTGCCCACACGAGTTTGCCTGCCACTTCCGCCCCGGGCACCTGCTTGGCAACGCCTGCCTGCCTGTGAGAGTCACCAACCAGATCTCCAAGCAGTTCGTGGCCCCAGCCGATGTGCGCCGCCTGCTGTCCCACTGCAAGGGTCCTGACCACGGGGTCCTGGATGCCTTGCACGTGCTCGAGGGGCTCTTCCGCACCGACCCTGAGGCCAAGGTAGGGGAGGAGGGAGCCAGGTGGTCCCTGGCTCACATCCATTCCTCCACCCATCCATCACTTCATCATTCAGTCAACATGGACCTATTGGGCCATAGCCTCATGGGCCCTCCCTTGGTCCTGTCCAGTGCAGCTGCCCCCACAGGCTTTTTGTCCTTTGGGAATACTTTGTCTCTTGCACGGGTGGCCTGGAAATGAGCACCAGGAAGTGAATTCCTTTCAAGGAACTGCAATTTACCCTTAGACAATTGCCCTGGACCTATCATCCCAGCTACTTAGGAGGCTGAAATCTGAGGATCACAGTTCGAAGCCAGCCCAGGCAGGAAATTCCAGGAGACTCTTATCTCCAGTGAGCCACCAGAAAACCAAAAGTGGCACTGTGGCTCCAGTGTAGAGCACCAGTCTTGAGTGAAAAAGCTAAGTGACAGCACCCAAGCCCTGTGTTCAGGACTAGCACCTATTATATGGCAGTTGGCTCCCTTAGAGATACCTGCTGGAACCACCTTTTAAGTTTTGGTTTGTTTTTTTGTTTTGATAGTGGTGGTGGAATCCAAAGCCTCCATACATTTGTTAGGCAAGCAGTACCACATAATATACTCTCCCAGCCTTTTCTGTTTGTATTGGGGTTTTTTGTTTTGTTTTGTTTTTAAATAGAATCAAGCTAATTTTACCCAGGTCTTCACCAGTGTGAATAGCTTGGGTTACAGGAGTATGCTACCATACCCAGCTCCACCTTACAGTGCTATTGGGAGAAGTCACACCCAGATAAGATAAGCTGGCCTCTTAAGTTATAGGCTGCCTAAAGATGGAAGGTAACATCTAATTTTTTTCTCCAAAGTGACCTACACAAATAGAAAATGCCCAAGTGACAAATATATGAATGCACACAAGGCCACACACCATCACCACCACCCCACCTCAGCACCAGGATGCCATGATCTGCGATCCATGGAGGGAGGAGTGTATGATCCAGAGGAGCAGATAGAAGTCTGCCATTTAATGTTGGTATTGTGTTTAGGGTGCTGTTTTGAGTGGTCCGGGAAGGAACGTGAGGAGCTAGTGGTGAAGCAGAGAGGACAAGCTGGAGGAAAGGGAACCCCATTCTGCTGTCGGGATGGGGAGAGTTTCAGGTGCAGTGAGCAGCCAGTGAGAAGGTGCAGAGGTTGGAGCAGGCTGGTTGTGTTAGCATGTCGCTTTGCTGTTTTACTCCAAGAGGAGAGGGGAGGAAAAGGAGAGGGAGGCTGGCTGGCAGGCAGGATGGTTTTATTTCTCCACCTGGCAGTACCTGGATTCCTCATGCATGGCAGTGTTCCCAACTCAAGTCATTTTTGTGTTAGGGTCTTTTTGCTCTGGCCAGCCTGGACCATAATCCTTCTATTTACAGTTCTTGTATAGCCCTGGATGACAGATGCCACCACACCTGGCTTTTTAATGTCCAAATAGGATCTCTTGACCTCCCCCCCCCACCACCACCCCAGACTGGCCTCAAATCTATTCTCCTGATCGCTACCTCCACCTAGGATTACAAGTGTGACAGCTAGGATTACAGGTGTGAGCCACAGAGGTCCAATATCCTAGATGCATTTTTAACTTAAAGCGAGTTGCGAAAACACTGTACATCCTATGCTGTATTACATATAAAATAAGGAAAATAGGAATTATAAGTGTCAAGGCCAGCAGGTGCCACATATACTAAGAAAGAGACTAAGGCTTTTAATACAGCTTGGTCATACTTGAATTTTGAACCATGTGAACTTTCCCATATTTAAATGGTGAATTTTTATTTATTAGTAACTAAGACTATACTCCAATGTGCTACACCCATTTATTTCTCTCACCAGATTTGAACTCTGGACCTTACACTTCATTTGCTTGCTTGGCCTGTGGTCTACCACTTGAGCCATGCCTCCAGCTCTGCTTTTTTGCTGGTTTTTTTAGAGATCAAATCCCCTGGCCTTCTCTGCCTAGGCTGATTTCAAATCATGATCCTCCAGATCTTAGTCTCCTAAGTAGCTAGTATTACAGGCATAAAGCTACCACGCCCTTCATAGTTTACATTCTACATAGAAAAATGAACTACTATATAGGACAGACCAGAACTCAACTGAAGATGGGTCAGTTTGATTAAACTCATAGTAGAAAGTGATGCAGTGGTGAGTGCTTGGTGATATTGTTAACTCATTCAGCGATAAATTTACCAGAGTTTTGTTTTCATGACCTATATTGAGTTTCAATATACTTTGGAGTACTGAATATATGATTTCTGGACTAGGAAGACAAAAATCTTTCCTCTCTGGATTCTACCAGACTTTTTACTTAATAGGTGTTTTGCTTTGCTTTTTTTTTTTTTTTTGCAAGCTCAGCATGATGCAGTGCTTTTAAGATGGAGTTACAGGATTTGGTTGGATTATGACAAAAGGCTTTGTGGGGAGATTTATGATTAAAGCGGATTCCAATTCTGTTTCCACTACTGTGAGTCAACTCTCACAGGGTCTGGCTTTGGGAGTCTCAGCCTCTGGCTGCTTAGTACCTTTGTGAGGAGACAGATCTTTGTGTGAGTGTGCATTTGAGTATGTATGAGTCAGCCCTGGGGCTTGAACTTGGGGCCTTCACTGTTGCTTAGCTTTTCTGCAGGGCTGGATCCCTAATGACCTCTGGGTAATTTTTCTTATTACTGTGGAACAAATTGCTGTAGATTGAGCAGTGTGGGTCCATGTGTGTGTGCGCCTGTATACGTGCTTGGGCACAAGTCCCCAGGGCTTGAATTGAGGGCCTGGGCATTGTCCCTGGGCTTTTGTGGTAAAGGCTAGTGTTCTACCTCTTGAACCACAGCTAACGTCATTGGAGATAAGGATCTGACAGACTTTCCAGCCTGGTCTTTGAAGCTGTATCTTCAGATCTCAGTGTCTTGAGTAGCTAGGAGTTCACATGTGAGCCACTGGTGCCCACACTGCCCCCTGCCGGTCATAGGAGAAAGTGCAGGCTCATTTTTGCAAGGGTGAGCGCCGCCTGACCCTTGGCTGACCTTGTCTGACTACTCAGGCCAGGGGTGAGCGCACCCGGACCTTTTGTTGCCCCTTGACCTCTGACCATCTAGGGATGTGCACCCCCCACGTCCCTAATTTCTGTTTGACCTCTGCCCATCCAGGGATGGTTTGGGCAGGCATCCCCTACCCCCTTCAGGCCCTGATCACCAAGGAAGGGGTCAGTCAGGTAGACGTCTCTGACCCTGTTTCAAAACTCTCCCTGACCTCGGGCGTCCCTTGACCTCTGTGTGACCTTCGCCCTGCCCACAGGTGAAGCTGGTGTTCGTGGAGGACCAGGCGGCCGTGGAGACCGTGTTTTTCTTGACGTCGCGCACGCGTGCGCTTCTGCGCCGCTTCCCACGCCTGCTGCTGGTGGACCGGCTGCCGGGGCTGCAGGGAGCGCTGGACCTGGTGTCCGTGCTGTGCGTGGACAGCGCGGGGCGCGCGCGGCAGGCGGCCTGCTGTGTGGCCCGGCCCGGCACGCCCAGCCTGCTGCGCTTCGCGCTGGCGTCACTGCTGCAGAGCGCGCCCGACATCAAGGGCCGCGTGCGCTGCCTGATCGCGGGGCCTGAGGTGGCCGGGCAGCTGCGCGCCGTGCGCCAGCTCCTGCCCTGCGCCCGCGTGCAGATCTGCCGCGCACAGGGCCTGGAGACGCTCTTCAGCAAGGCGCAGGAGCTGGGCGGCGCCAGCCGCGAGGACCCGGGGCTCTGGCCGCTGCTCTGCCGCCTGGCGGGGGCCTCGTCCTACGCCGCCTACAGCGAGGCACTGGCCGAGCTGCGCGCGCAGGCGCCGCCCGCCTTCGTGCGCTACTTCGAGCACAACTGGGCGCCGCGGCACGACCTGTGGGTGCACTTCCGCGCCTACGAGGCGGCGCGCGACCTCGACTCATTCGCGCTGGTGCACGGCCACCGCCGCCGCCTGCTGCGCCGCCTCAGCCCCCCGCACGGCGTGGCCCAGTGCCTGCGCGACCTGGTGGCCATGCAGTGGGCCGACGCAGCCCGCGAGGCGGCCGATGACGCCGCGCCCGAGGCGGCCGAGCCACCCGGGCCGCCGGGCCCCGAGTCCGGCCCCAGCCGCCGGCTGCGCGGGGACGCTGACAAGGGGAAGGGGCCGCTGGCCAGAGACTGGAAGGGGGCGCGGCTGGAGAACCAGGTGAGGGGCACCCGCAGGGAGGGGGGGCCCGAGGTGAGGGACTGGCGGGGTCCCCGGCCGGAGCCCCGCGCGGGACCCGAGCTCAAAGCCGCCCTGGGCGAACGGGGCAGCCGGGAAGGGAGTCCGGGGAGCGGCGTCCACGTGAAGGAGGAGCCCGGTGAGCCGAGGCCCGGGGGCGTGGAGGGCAGGAAGCGGCCAGGGCTTCGGAGCGCAGAGGAGCCCGGAGGGAGGCCGGCCGGGGGGAGGCCGGGGCCAAAGAGGAGGCGAGGCCTGGAGGACATCGTCGTGGTGCGGTTGGGAGACACGAAGGCAAGCGACATGGCGAACGGAGATGGGGGGCCGGTGGGGTGCGGGGATCTGGCAAGGGCCGAGCCGGCCGAGGAGGACAGCGGCGGTGTGGACGCGGACCCCGGGCCCGCGGGGCACGAGCATCAGATCGGCGGCAGCGGCGGCAGTGGCGAGGCCGGCCAGGAACCAAAGAGGCCCGGCGAGTCCCTGGAAGAGGAGGCCATGGACTGGGAGCCGCTGGCCCGGTTCCGAGCCGCCTGCGGGCCCGAGCTGGCCGACCTGGTGGCCGAGGAGCTGGCGTTCGCCCGGCAGCACGGCGCGCAGAGCTTCCACTGGACCGGCGCCGGCTTCGCCCTCAAGGACGGCAGCTCCGACTTCGTGCTGGACCGCGCGCTGACGCACTGCAGCTGCACCATCTACGCCGCTCGCCGCCTGCCCTGCCGCCACCTCTTCGCCGCCCGCCTGCTCACCGGCGCACCCTTGTTCCACGCCGACCTGCTCAGGGATTGCTGGGGGAAGGCCCCGGCGCTCTGACCCCCCCACCCCCTCTCGGCCCCGCGCCGCGGAGGGAGGGTGTCCGCCCATCCCAAAGAAAACGGCCGGACCCCAGTTCTCAGCCAGCCACCTCCTCTGGATCCAAGGCCACAAGAGCAGACAGTGGTCGGTGGCCCCCTTTTCCCCCCCAGAGCACATGGTCCCCACGATCCCCAGCCGAGGGAAGTGCGATGGTCCGGATGCCTCCAAGGACTTCCTGGGGCCAAAGAGAAAGGGGCGACATGGTGCTGGAGGAAGGCAGGCAGGGAAGAGGCAGAGCCGGGATGGGGGTCACTGGGCTGTGCAGCGCGGCGGGGTGAACAGGCTGTCTAGCCAGGAAGAGGAAGAAGGACGAGTACTGGAGACGAAAGGGGAGGAGAGCAATGGCGACAGGAATCAGGAGCTGACACTTGAGGGGAAATGCAGAGGGGAGGAGAATTTTGAAAAGGAGTCGGACTGGGGAGGAATGAGCAGTGATTTGAGATTTTGCCTCCTTTTTCTCCCCCCGGCGGAGGGAGAGGACACTGGCGGTTTGTTTGAAGCAGAGACTTCTGGGGAAGGGAATTCTTTGAACTACTGTGCTTTGCGATTGGAATAAATCAGTATTATTTTGGTCTCTGTGCTGAGTTCATAGCTTCTAGGGGAGGGTGGAAGAACCACAGGCCAAGGAAAAGAGAGACAGCTCAGTTTCCCTCCTTCCCATCAGCCAGGATTCCTGGGGCCAGGTGAGTGGAGGGAGGTGCCACACCGTCTCTGCCTGGGCCAGTGCCCAACGTGGCAACTTCACAGCTGGTCCCCTTGACCCTTGTCCTGACCTATGAAATCTGCCAAGGTTGCAAAGGGCTTCGCATGGAAACCACCTGGGCCAGTGCAGATGTGAGGACCACATGGCAATCTGGTCCTTGCTTGGCTGGCCCCTTGCCCCCATGAGATTTCTGAAGTAAACCATCTCCACGGCTCCCATGGAGCTTCCTGCAGTTATACCTGACAAAGGGGACTTCAGTCTGTAGCAACTTAGAGAATCCATGGGGAGTCTCACATACATTAAAGGCCTCTTGTCCAGGTAGAGTAGCATTCAGAGGATACATGTAGGGATCCGAATTTCTAGAAAGTTCTCTGATAGAGTAGCATTGATTGTGGGGCACACTGAATAGCAGTGAGAAGGTTTCAAGGTAAAAGACGAGGCTGTCAAGTGTGAGGAGTTATTTGAGGAGTCAAAGACCAGCTCCACTGACCTTGAAGATCCCATCGTGTGTGATGGCCTGGTTTTCCTCTTCATCTTTTACACTGGACATGGATGACTAAGAGGCAGACCAAATGCTCTTTGGTCCCACCCACCAAAGCTGTCAATCAAAATCTTAAGAGGAGACATTGTTTTCATAAACAGCTTGATAGAATGGCAAGTTCTTTCTACAAATAATTAAATAGAAATATAATATTTTAAAGTTTGGGGTTTTTCTCAACAGGAGGACCAAGGAGGCCCCAGCTAACAACTACAATCTAGATCAAAGGTGGTCATCATAAGCTTATATATAAGCCTTAGTATCTGTTAGTAAATCAGCATATTGGCAAAATGAAGAAGGAAAGCCATATGGCTCTCACTAGGCAGGGAAAACAGGGATATTAACCTTAGAAGTACATATTTTTGCATATTAAAAGTTAAAAAAATCTATTATGTAGGATTAGTTTTTTTGTTTGTTTTATTTAGATTGCAGACACCTATATTTTCTGTGTATGCCAGACCTTGGGCTTGAACTCAAGGCTTGGGGACTGTCCGAGTTTTTTCACTCCAGACTGGCATTCTACCACTCCAGACCAGCTTTGTGGTGGTTAATTGGAGATAATCTCAGGGACTATGATCCTCAGATCCCCACCTCCTGGGCATTCCAGGCATGCAGGAGTACAACTTTATAGCCATTTAAATCTGCCTATTGTGGCCAGAGATTTAGAAATGAGAAAACATTCTAATACACCTTATTCCTTAGAACTAAGACTGACCCCCATGCTGTGGGGTCCTTGAGTCCCTCACACTGTGCCCATCAGAACCTATTCTCTGGAAAGCCAGGAGATGGGGTCACAGGTATCTCCAGGTCCCAGTGGGGAAGGCAGAGAGCTCAGGATGTATCCACAGCTGTGAGAACCAACTTTTAATAACCAGTCACATCCTGAAGTTTACTTTCTGATGAGTTTGACTTGGAAAAAACACATCTTAAAACGGTAATTGTATTCTTCTAATTAATCAACTTAATACACTCTCCAAGAGCTTCCTTTGGCACCTGGGAAAAGCAGTTTACAGCTCCTGTGGGGGCATCAGAGTGATGCCCAGTAAACAAGGCCAGCCAGGCAGCAGGAGACACTGATTAATGTCTCCTGGGAGAGGCCCTATCATGAGGCGCCTGCTACACAATCCTAGCTGGGCAAATGCAGCCGGGCTGGACCCTGTGAGAGGATTTCCCAACTCCCAACCTAGAGAGGAAGAAGTTGGAATACTTTTCATTATCCCTTTTCCACCAACTTTACAATATTTTTCTATTAAACATGTGATTTGACATGGAGTTGCAAACATACTTTCATCCTGGTCCAGAAACCTAAATGTTTTGTAGACTGAGTTTATCGACAGTAACCCTGAAGAACCCTAAGAAATTTTATTTCAGGGGCTGGGAAGGTGGCTCAGTGGTAGAGCGCTTGCCTTGCATGCTTGAGGCCCTGGGTTCGATTACTCAGCACCACATAAGCAAAAAAGAAAAAAGCTGGAAGTGGGGCTGTGGCTCAAGTGGTTAGAGCGCTAGTCTTGAGCTGAAGAGCTGAGGGACAGTGCCCAGGCCCAGAGTTCAGGCCCCACGACCGTACCAAAAAACAAGAAATTTCATATTACAGAGTGATCTACTGAAGTCTTTTGTTGTTATGTTTTGATCGGTCCTGGAGCTTGAATTGAGAGCATGAATGCTGTTCATGCTTTTTGAGCACTTTTATGCCCATGGCTAATGCTCTACCACTTGAGCCACAGCTTTATTTCCAGATTTTTTTATGGTTTATTAAAGATAAGAGTCTCACAGACTATCCTGCGATTCTCCCCCACCCCCTTCACCCCCTTCTCTCTCTCTCTCTCTCTCTCTCCCCTGGTGTTGGTCATAGGGCTTGAACTCCAGGCCTGGGCCTGTCCCACTTTTTCTCATTTAGTTTTTAAATAGTTATTATAAAGATGATGTACAACGTGGCTCTACCATTTGAGTCACAGCGCCACTTCTGGTTTTCTGGTGGTTTGTTGGACATAAACCACTACTTTCCTGCCTGGGCTGGCTTTGAACCGTAATCCTCAGATCTCAGCCTCCTGAGTAGCTGGGATTACAGGCATGACCACCAGCCCCCAGCAGGGCTAACATTCTTTAAGTCAAATAATGAGTACATTTCTTTCTGGACAATGTTACCCCTTCTTTCACTCTCTCCCAGTTTTTCCATCCTGGTGCTACCCACAAGTTGCATAGCTCATTTTCTACAGAGTATCAACCAAGTACCACTGCTCATTTATTCACCTCTGTTAACTCATTATTCACAATCAAACTCTCCAAATAGCAGTTGACAGGAGATGACTTTATTCATCCAACCTCAATGGAAATTTTTCATTACCTACAGATAAGATGCTCTGAACATTGTAGTGTGTTTTTTTTAAATCATTTTAACAATAACCTTACCATTTCTGCATAATAATGTCCATCATTTACACATGCTGAATCTATCTCATGGTAGATTTCCTGGAACTATTGAAATACTCCTGTATTTTTTCAATTGTCTAGTTCTAGGATAATTGCAGAGGGAAAATGGGTGATATGAAACCTAGATTGAATCAATCTCCTGTTCCCATGCCTGTGTTTTATCATAGTGTAGGATTGGTTTGTACAATTATTTTGTGTAGATTTTCTTTTTGTTATTTACCTCCGGAAATGTACTTGCATTCCATCATTTGGTCACACTATATTTATTTTATTTCATATCAAGGCCATGGCTGGGAAGGTGGCTCAGTGGTAGAGTGCTAGTCTTGTGTGCATGAGGCCCTGGGTTCGATTCCTCAGCACCACATAAGCAGAAAAAGCTGGAAGTAGTGCTGTGGCTCAAGTGGTAGAGCGCTAGCCTTGAGCTAAGGAGCTCAGGGACAGAGCCCAGGCCCACAGTTCAGGCCCCATGACTGACCAAAAAAAAAAAAAAAAAAAGATCAGGGCCATGCTCAAATAAAAACAGATTAATACAATGCTTTATCCAGTCATTAGGAAGTGAAGGAGGGTATTTCCACATCTGATAATTCTAGCTACTCAGCAAGTTGAAATCTAGGGAACACAGTTCAAATCCGCCTGCATAAAGATGGAAGAGGAGCTGTTACCCTTGAACAACAATTAAGAAAAAAAAAAAAAAAGCTCATGGATAGCACTTAGGCCCTGGTATCAAGCCCCAGGAGTTATCCCTCCCTCCCTCCCTCCCTCCCTCCCTCTCTCTCTCTTTCTCTCTCTCTCTTACACACACACACACACACACACAATAAAATCTGAAGATCAAAGAAAATGCCTTATAACATGCAAATTTGTGATTCACATAGGCCCTAGTTAAGGCACTAGGAACAAAGTATAAGGAACAGTTTCCCTCCTGTAATCTCAGCCATTTCTGTCTTCTAAGATCCTTGGGAACCCTTGGGATCCCATTCCACAGGTGCCACCGCTGGGCCTGAAACAATTTCATCTTCTGCATATTCTTCCTGAAGCTCAATTTTGAATGAATTGATCATTTAATGCAATGATTTTTTTCCTGAACTGACCAATTGCCTGATCTATATATCAGACATCACAAACACCATTAATGATGTTTGGGGGTGAATATATGTGGGGTCTTTTCATAGCCCACCTGTGCGTCACTGTCACAGAGAACTCCCTGCTCTAATCCTATGGAGTCCAGCGTTTTCTGCCTGCTGTTGCCTGCAAGGCGGTGGTGTACCTCTTCAGAGCCACCCAGGCGCTTTCCATCTGTACCACCTCACTCCTGAGTGCATTTCAGACCATCAGCTCATCACCATCAGCTCCATCCATGCCCAGTGGCTTAAATCTAAGTTTTGAGTGTGGATTTTCCCCTCTTTCTTCTTCTTTTGGTATGTCCCACTCATGAAGACTATGAAAGACAAAAGCAATTTTGATGTTATTGGTTCTAGGTTTTCCAATGCATATTGTCCTACTCAACAGATTGAAGAATTGTGGTATTACATGTGATTTTTGGATTTCTTTTTTCCTTGTCGTTTGTGGGGCTTGAACTCTGGGCCTGGGTGCTGTCCCTCAGCTCTTCAGCTCAAGGCTAGCGCTCTGCCACTTGAGCCACAGCACCGCTTCCGATTTTCTGGTGGTTTATTGGAGAAAAGGGTCTCACGGACTTTCCTGCCTGGTCTGGCTTTGAACCTGGATCCTCAGATCTCAGCCTCCTGAGTGAGCCACCAGTACCTGGCTTACATGTGTATTTTAGGGTCTTGAGATCTTGTGTTTGTAATCCTCATGATTGCTACCAGGCTCTACATGGTGATGCTTCTCTACCAACAGCACATCCATAGTCTTCTGGGCACATCCATAGGCCCAGTCTTGCC